TACTTATACCGGTAGGCAATGGTCTGGCCTCAATGCTGCGAGGCCAGGCCAGACCCTGGACCGTCCAGATGGACGGTTCAGCCTCAATCGGCGGGCGGCAGCTTCAAGAGCGCCGCCAGGCCCAAACGAAGTGTCGTTTGGGCCTACCCGATGGGTGCTGGTCCAAAATCAGGCCTTTAGGGCCTGTAACCCCAACGGTCGGGCCTTTAGGCCCTGGTGTGTCACTCTGGCCGTAAGTCGGGTCCGGTAGGACCCGTGTGAATCGAAGATGTAACACTGTCACAGCCTCCCATTTCTGGTCTCTCTCTTCTCTCTCTCTCTCTCTCTCTCTCTCTCTCTCTCTCTCTCTCGCTCTCGCTCTCTCTATCTATCTATCTATCTATCTATCTATCTATCTATCTATCTATCTATCTCCCTTTCTGTGCACGGTTCACTGGACGATATAGAATAATTAATATTAGTCATACTTGCATCCGAACATGTGCACCGTGCACCACAATGGGGAAAAACTACCATGTGCTGCGCAGAAAAAGGAATAAAAATGCAAAAACAAGTCCTTTTGAACAAGCCTAGCCCAGTTGGTAAACCCCCGAACTGTTGAAATACAGACCCAACTTCGAATCCAGTTGCAATCAGATAAACAGAGTAAACAATTCTGAATTACCTGGGGCCAGTCAGTTCAAAGATGATATCTCAAGGCTGTCGCCCTTTCAAAAAAAAAGCAAAAAAAAAAAAAAAAAGTTGTTTCTGTCCATGTCGCATTCTTTCCAACAGCCGCGTTCCAAAAAAAAAAAAAAAAGTCGTTTCTTTCCGTGTCGCCCCTTTAAGAATTCAGAGAATCCGGTTTTCATGTCGCATTCTTTCCAACAGCCGCATTCCAAACCTGCAACCTGGACCCTTAATGGGACTCCTGGGTTCCAAACCTGAGACCTCGAACCTTGCTGAGACTGCTGGGTTCCAAACATGGAACCTTACTGGGACTCCAAGGTTGCAGTCCCAGACCTGCAACCTGCACCCTTCAATCTGGAACCTTACTGGAACTGCTGGGTTCCAAACCGGTAATCTGGAACCTTACTGGGACGAATGGGTTCCAAACCTGCAACTTGGAACCTTACAGGGACTGCTGGGTTCCAAACTGCAACCTGAAACCTTACTATGACGACGACTGGGTTTCGAAAACGTAACCCCCAACCTGGAACCTTAACGGGACTGCCGGGTCCCAAACCTGCAAAACTGGAACCTTACAGGGACTGCTGGGTTTAAAACGTGCAACCAAGAACCTCGCTGGGACTGCTGGTGGGTTCTAAACCTGGAACCTGAAACCTTACTGGTATTGGTGGGTACCAAACCTGGAAGCAACCTGGAACCGTACTGGGACTGCCGGGTTTCAAACCTTGAACCTAACCTCAAACCTAACTAGAGCTGCTGGGTTCCAAACCTGGAACCTTACTGGGACTGCTGGGTTCCAAACCTGGAAACCGCGACCTGGAACCTTACTGGGAATGCCAGGTTGCAAACCTTGAACCTCCAACCTGGAACCTTACTGGGACTGCTGGGTTCAAAACCTGGAACCTTACTGGGACTACCAGGTTCCAANCTTACTGGGACTGCTGGGTTCAAAACCTGGAACCTTACTGGGACTACCAGGTTCCAAACCCTGGAACCTTACTGTGACTACTGGGACTGCTGGTACCTCCAACCTGGAACCTTATTGGGAATGCAGGGTTCCAAACCTGGTACCTCCAACCTGCAACCTTACTGGGACTGCTGGGCTCCAAACCTGGAACCTGGAACCTTACTGAGACTACTGGGTTCCACTCCTAGAACCTGCAACCTTACAGGAACTACTTTTCTCTCCCTCCGCCCATTCCTCATTTCATCACGATGCAACCCCCTCCACCAAAAAAGCCTCCATTAGGATCCATTCTGGATAAGACTGCCAAAAGCTGAACAGGCAGGGATCCTTGGAATTGGGTCAGAATCGGTAAATACTAAATAATAATAAATACAAAATCATTAAAATGACAAGGTAAACAGTAATGAGAAGGTCATCCCTTACCTGAACCAATTGACTAAAGTGGTATACACGTGTAAATGTTAGTATAACAGACCGCGAGTCCTCTGATGGAATGATATGAATAACAACAATGTCAGCATATTGGGCCTGTTTACGTGTAACAATGGGCCAACTTCACAACATTCTAAATGAATCTGGCACTGGAAAAGCGTCCAAATGCATTCAATATGCATTTGATCAGTCAGAATGCATTTGGTCTACAAACCGTCCAGGTACGTCTCGAGTGTTGAGTAGTGGAGCGAGGCCCGATGTCAAACAATAGAGCTGTTGAATGACCTACACACTACCCACAATTTTATCCACAACAGTATCCAAACGAATCTTATCCACAAGATAGAATCTTATCCACAAGATGGAATCTTATCCACAATGGAATTAACAACATCAGGCAACGAATGGTTGTACGTGATGGGAACTGTCAAAGTTGTTTTTTATACACAACCAGGCAAAGTGAGAGAGAAGACCGACATGGCTACTGTTCCGGCATACCTCCAGAGCCTCTAGCCTCTGTCTCTCTTCCTTAGCGACTTCTTCCGGGCACTTCAACCGATCGGAGGCACGGGCCCTCATCTCGAAAACCAGTTCCTTGGTCATCTTCTCGTAATCGTCAACTTGTGCCTGTCCAAATGAAACCAACCCTTCACCCCCAAAACCACCCTTTCTCCTCCTTTTCCTCTCACCAGTCAGCTCCAGGCACGGACACCATCCATCCATCCATCCCCCCGTCCCCCCCTACCCGCCTCCCCCGGATACCCATTTACCCCCTTTACCCACAACCTGAACCACATGCCCCTTCAATCAAGTCCAGCCACCACAACAGGATGCACATCTCATGCCCCTTTCATCAAATCCAGCCACCACAACAGGATGCACAGCTCATGCATCACCCCCCCCCGCCACCCACCCAATGCCTTTACAACTGCCAACCAGCATCACATAAGCCTTTCATCAGACCCAACCACGACAACAGGACGCATTCCACAGAAGATAAACACCAGGAAGGACCAGAAGAAGGTGCATGATTGTCAAACTGACTGGACAGAAAAGAGGGGTCGCCAAGCAAAAATAAAAGCATTTTTCTCAAACAAAACTGCACAATTTACCACATTTATTGAAATTGATGTTGTCCTTTTCCTGTTTTTTTTTTTTTTTGGCACACACCATACAGGATAGTCATCGGACGGTAGATAATGGACATCTTTTCTCCACTAACCATAGTTAATAAGAAAGAAAAAAGATAGGCCATGGTTAATGGACGGTGCATACATACGATATATATACACAGATTCACAGAACTCTTTCTTGGTGGGCACTTGGGACTCGATCTCAGGATTTCAGGTTCTTGGCCCAGTCGGGCAACAGCGTAAATGAAATTGAATGAACATTGAACAATAACTTGATAATTGAATAAATATTATGTCAAAGAGTTGTCCCATACGGCCCTGGCAAACGCATGACATCTGAGTGTGAAATTACTATGAATGGATTCGGAAAAGTTTTTTTTTCATTTTTTCTTTCCTTTGTGAATGGAGTGAGCCACTGGATTTGCAAGAAAGAACAGCATGCGGAACAGAAAGCTCAGAAAGGCTTCACACATGAATTCGAATAGTAGCGCTGAAAATGAAACTAAGAACTAAGGGCATACTTCCAGCACTAGGACCTTGCGTCATTCATCTCACGATTCTGACCATATTCCAGTCAGGTTCAGTCAACAAAGCCCTTGTTGAGTAGGAGAACCTAGAACCGAGTGTGGCCTGGATACTCAGGGAGAGCTCCATCTGTATTTGAGAAGAAGTGCAAGCGATTCGGAGCGACGAGCTATAACATTGCTTACACCTCTTCTCCAATCCCATGAACATTATGAAAACTGGTACCTTCTCTCACCTAATTACATCAGACAGAACAAAAACACATCAATTCACCTCTCTCTCTCTCTCTCTCTCTCTCTCTCTCTCTCTCTAGCACGCGAGCGCTCTGTGCATGTGTGTGCGTCTGCGGCTTTCAACAATGACGCGTTTGTGGTGCCATGGTTGATCACATCTGCGCGATTGTCAGGAAACCACGAAGAAAGCAAAAGGAAAAGGGGGAAAGGAGCCAGGACAGAAAAAGGTCCGATTTGAACGCGATTTCCAAATCATTTCCCTTTCCTTATTTCCCCTTTCCTCTTGTTATCTTTCCTAGAAAAGGAAAGGGAAATGATTCCGCCGTTTTCTGTGCGATTTGAAGAGGGGAGAAACTACAGTGAATTGAAATGGAGGCGACTGAGTGAGATCCATGGAGGAGGGAGGTCAACGAAACTCTTTGCCACATATTTTTCGGCAACATCACAATAAATTAAAAATGTTCCCCACTTTCACATCTGTGGTGTTTGCTGCCAACCGCACAGTCCCTGCTACGGATCTGTGGTGTTCGTAACTTTGTAACGATTGCACAGTCCCTGCTACAGTACTTTGGCCAAGGCGAATGCTCACTCCTTGCTTGGTCTTCATCGATGCTTTGCACCACTTTCATCAAAATATATTGTTCTCATTCTGACCATGTCCACGCATGCGGCATATCATCCATTCTCCTCCAGTTGCCACAACTTTACGTACTTCTTTGTTGTTGTCCAGCCCGATAATAAGGCTACTGTCTTAACCCGAATAGAACGCCCGGTCATTATAGCTGTATTTGGCACAGCTTTCAGCCCAGATACGGCAATAATTACCGGGCATTCTATTCGGGTGAAGACGGTAGTAGATTACCTGTTATGGCTTCTCCCGCAAAACAATAAAGACGCACACAGAGAGCATGAGGAATCCAAGGGATCCATTCCCCCCCACTCTCCCCCCCCTCTCTCTCTCTCTCTCTCTCTCTCTCTCTCTCTCTCTCTCTCTCTCTCTCTCTCTCTCTCTCTCNTCTCTCTCTCTCTCTCTCTCTCTCACACACACACACACACACACATATGATTGCATGTGAACTGTGGTTCCGTTCTCCTTCCATGTGTGTGTGCATGTTCGTGTGCACGTGTGCTTTCTTCGGGTAGCTGTTTTCACTTGTCCCGCTGGTTACGCTGAGCGCTTGTTAACCGGCTCAACAAAAATGTGTGCCGCGCTCTGAACAAAATGTAGGTCACGCAAGTGCCACTTTGAACCAAAATGTGTGATGCATGACTCTTTGGACCAAAATGTGGCACACAGATAGTACCGCTCCACTGAACCGCAGATCCGTGTGCATTGCCGGAACAATCACATGGTCCAGATTGTATGCTGATCATTTTTGGTCCTGGCCAGCATGCAATGCAGACCATCCAGTACTGCTATACTGACGGCCATGATTGCATGCCGATCACCCTCGAAAAGGGTCAGCTGCTCATCAGCATCATTAGACAACAAAGAAACGGAGAGTGGAGATGTCGAGTTGATTCCCACACTTGCTAAATAGAAATTTTCACTACTGTAGTGATATTGATCTAAACATCTCTTAACCAGGGGTAGCAATAATTGCTCTAAAAATCAGTTACCCCCACTTGCCAAATAGCGATTTTCACTCTTGTACAGAGTAGTCACGCCGACTGTTAGCGACTCTGAATTGGTTGGCTGCTGACCAGCCGGTCAGCGGTTGGTAGGCACCCTGGGGAAAAAAGAAAAAAAAGAAAAATAAAAAAATTGCTTGCGGGCAATGTGGGGTCCATAACCCCCAATAACCCTCCAACACCCCCCTACACCCCCATACTGGCACTTAACACCCTCATACCCCCCCCCCAATAACCCCCTATACCTCCCCCATATTAGTGACTTTGGATTGGTCAGCTGGTGACCAGCCGACTGTTCCACCGGTCGGCAGTTGGTCGGCACCCTGGGAAAAAAAAAAAAAAAAAAATTTGCTTGTGGGGTCCATAACCCAAATAACCCTCCAACACCCACCTACACCCCCATACTGGCCCCCAATAACCCCCTATACCTCCTCCATAACACCCCCCTCCCCCCTCCCCCATCCCCAAAAGTTTCTCAGCAGATTTGGGCTGTACTCACCAAATGCAGCACAGTCCCGAGCTCAGATTTGAAAAAAATAATCAGCGGATGGCCCTCTACAGACTGGTCGGCAGTACTGGTAGGCTGCAAAACGGTCAGCTGTCGATGTCGGCAGTCGGCGGGTATGCACCCCTGCTCTTGTAGTGATAATTGTTCGAAACATCTCTTGGCTACTGGTAGTGATAGTTGTTCTAAAAATCAGTTAGCGAGGGGTTAATCATGGGTTAAGTTCTGTTAACCCAGTTAACCGAACACCTGGCCTAGACCCATCGCAGGACTAAACCAAGGCGTTGGAATCTGGGCGCACCTTCGTCCGTTCACCCCGTGCCCCCCCCGCCCCCCCTCCTAAAAAAGGGAAAAGACTTTCTGTTGGGGTCTTTTTCTTGATTTCTTCTTTCTGGTCATTTCTTTGAATTCCCTGAGGAACTTCGCCATGAGCCGCATGTCGTTTACAAGGGAATTCTAGATGGGCGTCCAGATCTCCATCCACATGTCCCCGTTGTGACTACTGGTTCGAGACTGACAAGAATTGAGCATCAGCCTTACCTTGCTGCCATCTGCACCGCCACCTTCGGCTCCTCTCTTTTCGTCTGTTTCCTGCTCTGGCGCTAACGCTTTGCTACTGCTCATCACTGATTCGCCAATTGTCGGTTTTGCATCCTTCTTCTTCTTCATCGCCATAGCCAGCGCTCGGCTTCCTTGAAGTTCTTTGAACTGCTTATCCAGTTCTTCCACCAAGTGCTCATCCTCCTCCTTCTCCTTTGCCCTTTGTGCCTGCATGTAAAAATCAATCAATTACAGATCGGACATTCCATGAGGGAATCATACAAAAGCCTGCCACGTTGCCAGCTACCACGCACATGCATGCACACAAACAAACACACACACACACACACACACACACACACACACACACACACACACACACACACACACACACACAC